CACTGGCAGACATCAGGAAATGACGCTCTTCGCATTCGGCCAGTTTTTGTGAATGATTTATCCCCGTCAGTCATCCTTTCTTTTTTTGAAGCGAGTGGTTGAAGCAAATGCAGCATAAGAGCCCCCTGGTAGCTGAAGAAAAAAATCCACGTATAAGCCGCACCGGACTATAAGCCGCATGGTTCAAAGTTCAGGAAAAAAGTCGCGGTTTATAGTCCGAAAAATACGGTAAATTAATGCATTTTTCTTTTGTCTCCTGTTCAGTGTTTACTGTCGCAAACATCGGGCCGCGTCTCAGGAGGACATCCAAGGTAAATTTTGTCTGTGGTGTGTCAGGAGCACATGGATGATTGATGCTGCTGCTCTTTGTGTTTAACAGTAACTCATAGGAAGGAGAAATAACGGGAATATTTACTTAATACTTGTAAGATTTTCAAAGGAAGTCGGATTTATTTGAATCACGTTTTATAACCTAGGTGAAACTGGACAAAACATACGAAACTAAAAAGTTAGACGTTTAAATGTTTACACAGAATAACTTAGACACCTTTGAGTGAGTTTTTTTAACAGGGTTCATGCAGAGTCTTAAAAAGTCTAAAAAGGATTAAAATTTGAAAATCTAAATTTTAGGTCTATAAGAGTCTTAAAAACACCCAGATTTTCATCCAAGATCTTAAATTTTATTTTGTCAAGTCTTTTTTAATTTACGATCATTCCCGAGAAGCATTGGCTGCATAAATAGAGTAAAGTGCTGTAATCAGAACTTGACACAGTCTGTCTCCATGAAGTGCCAAGTTTCCTACCGGTCTTGGTCTGTGGTTAAACTACAAATACCATGATAACTGCTGGAAAAAAATAGCAAAGTTTACTTCCATGTTTGTGACCTCTTTGCCTACAAACCCCCGCATACGGCATACGGCTTGTTCACCTGCCCAAAAAAACAAAAGTTCAGTCCACTGCTTGTCATTTAAACATGGAAAGTGTGTTTTCAATAGGAGGGTTTCACGTGACGTCACAATGCAGTGCCACTAGAACACGAAGTTCGGATGGAGGTCAGGAAGTTAAATAGTGGAGGATCTGCTATCTGAAAAAATGCCCATATCTTGTGTAGTTTACGAGTGCTCCAATCATTCTAACTGAACTAATAATAAATAATTATACACTGATTAAATTATATATTAAATTAAATAAAAATGATGGCTCTTTTTTTATTAATGTTCATCACATTTGAAGCACATTGCAGCAGGAGGATGTAAAAGAGGGCTGATTCATGGGAGAAAAAACGCCTAATTCCACCCTCTGGTGTCACCCCCACCCCACCGAACAAACCTAAACCCCCCAATCTCCTTTCTGATTGAAGCCTGAAAATATTAGACAAGCGGCAAAAAATCTACATGAGGATAAAAATAAAAAGAGGCGGAAGTTGAATAATGTTCGGGTGCGAATGAGAGACAGCGCAGTCCGAAGTCAGCAATGAGATATCCGAAATTTATTACATTTATTATATTTGTATAACTATATTTCATAATTACGGTCAAGTTTAGTTAGTTATTTTAGTGTCTTTGATGCAAATAAATAAATAAATAAATAAATAAGGCGATGAAGGTGGAGCTCCAGTCCAGATGCGGTCAGGTGGACCGAGTCGAACCGAGCCGCAGCTTGAGAGAGGAGCTCAAAGGCAGAGATGGAGGAAAAACAGTCGGAGACAGAGTGAGGACTTTGTTGAGGAAGTAGGTGATTCACTATTTCAATTATAAGAGGGAAGAGAAGAAGATCGAGCACCGAGCGGACTCTACGGTCCCGTTAACGGTCTACCGGGGCAGTACGGCGCTAACTACACCGAACAGCTGATGAAAGCACATAAACAAACAACGGGAGGTGTAGAACTTTTTATTCAGCGGGTGGATCCACAACCTCGGAACCAAACAGCTCCACGATGATTATCGTTTGTTTTTTCCAGGGTGAATGTTTTTTCTGATATCGTTTTATGTTACGATCATGCTAATAGTAGCTGCTAACGTCAACAATCATCCAGCACCTAACGACACAGAACTGGGGCAGACTAAAGTCCAGATGAGGTCCACATTAAACTACCAGTAACTTAATACTCACTACTGAATAAACAATCATTATAAACAAAACCTCTAAAACAAGTTAGCAGCTAACATACTTCTGATGTAGTGGCAGCTGCCTGCAGACACCGCCATTCTGCTCCTCCTCCCAACTGTAGACGGTTTAAAATCCACTTTTTATGTTATCGTTCTGTGAGCTTTCTACATTTTTCATCTTTGTGTATGATAATCTGTTATCATATGTTGTCATAGGGTTGGGCAGAATCGTGTGGAAATATTCATCAGATAAACTTTTGCTGGTTATTTGGCACCTGGTGATGTAAGACGTGTGTGGTACCGACAGCCTCAGAAAATCTTTAGGTTCTGTCGAAAACTCATTCATCTTCATCTTACGAGTCATGTCTGACATATTTGTGAACAAATTTTTTTTGAAATAGGACCTAAATCCATACAATATAAACTCTCTACAGTAGTTTCCTCCATAGACATTTTACCCCCTGCCCTCCAGCTGAGATCGCTCCGCCTTTGAAACCACGTGACTGAAACCCAGCTATGAGACTTGGCCTGATATCAGTGATTTTTGCACTCTGTCGGAAGCGGCCCACAGCAGTCGATATGAGGGTCTCATAGACATGATTGTTTCATTAAAATAATTTAGTGTTCTTGTATTAAAATTAAACATTCTTTAATAGCTAAATTGATAGCAGTAAAAGGTTATGTTAAAATTACTGGGACCATTTGAATGTTTCTGTTAATGTGTCAGTTTGGTCTTAAATGTCATTCCTAATGGTCTTAAAAAGTCTTTAAAAGGTCTTAAATTTAACTTATTGAAACCTGCATGAACCCTGTTTTAATGAAGACCTAGCTGTATCAAACCAAAGTTTTGTGCTTGAGAATTTCAGAGTCGATAACAGATGAAAATTTAGCTTCAAAACCAAAACTTTAGTCTCGAGTGTAACTTCTGTTTTCTTGTCAGATGAAGAGGGCAGTGTAGCCAATGACTCGGACTCCTCCTCGCCTCCACAAAGCAGAGGCAGGGGGAGGTTTGAGAAGGGGAGGGCCAAGTTTGGATCTCGTGGCCAGTCAGAAGAAACTCGCTCCACCTCCTCCTCACAGGCTGCAGACGAAGAGAGCTCCTCTCACGTAAATACATTCTTTAAAAATTCACCATCTTCTGTTTGATGTACATTTGTTATTAGAAGTTTACACACACTCATCATGTTGCACTAATTCAATTCTTTTAATGATCTGAATCATTCTTTTTTCCATGGTGAATTTATCACAACTTCAGTGATTTGGGTAAACAAGGCTTAACTTGTTTTAGATTTTCTCTAATCCAAATTACAATATATATACAAGCTCAAATATATGGTAAATGTACTGTACATATAGCAGTCAACCAGGACACGTTCATACAGCACTACATCTCTACACAGCTAATCTGAATAAATTACTTTATAGAGCTGAGTCAGTGCTTTAGATTAAAACACAAATTTAAACTGTCCAAATGCCATGAGGCTGAAAAGCTGCAGTTCTCTGCATACTTGGCCAAAGAGCGGCTCAGGGACCCAGTGAGGACATGTACCAGTTGTTGGGTCAGCAGCCTCAGCTAGACTCAAGTCTCCCCTACCACTTTTCTCTGAGGCTTTGGAGGGGGTACACCTAAAACCCTTTTTTTTATCTCAGCTTGTACATTTTGTTGTGTTTTGTTATTACACAGACAGAACCAGCAGAGTAAAATTAAAAAAGGCCACTTGGCAAGATGCAGAAAACACCCAGGAGCTGCTGTCTCAGGTTTTAGTTTAGGTTTTACAGGGAAGGTTTATTAAAATTTAAACAGAATAAAAAGGTAGCTAAAAGTAAAACAATTTTTTTTTTACAGTTTTCTGCAAAAAATGCTCAAAAATGACATTATCTTTACTTTTTATGATCATTTTCTACCACGATATATACCGTTACCATGAAGGGATTCAATTTATACCCTGATATGAATTTGAGGTCATACCGCCCAGCCCTATGATATTGGTAAGAAAACTAAACGATGTTGTTAAGACTGTCATCTTTCACACACTTATACAGTTTCAGTCAGATGTTTACATACCATAGTTTTGTTGGAGCTGCTCGAAGCTTCGTTTCCCACTACCACGTCTGAGCGCAAATCTTTGCAAACAAAAGTTGTCATGACCTCTGTTATCTTTAAAGTCAGCTGAGAATCAGCTGTAATGTTAGTGATTCCTTTGTTTGTTTTGTTTTGCCCCAGACAGCTTGTTGTTGGGAGC